TGAAGGGTGTTTTTATAGTAGCCGCACTGCTAACGAGCAAGACTAAGGTGGCCATCAAGGCCACATTTTTCAACACTGCAGGTGGGTGAACAAAATGGAAATTGTAATTTGAACTGAGTTACTGCACATCAGGCTTAAAGAATGAAACTAGCATCTTTCTGCTACTCTTCTGTGGAACTCATACTTCTAGTTGAAGCATGGTGATTGAATTACAGAAAATATTCTGGCAGAAAGAGTTTTTTGAGTGGTTATAGAGACATTGTCTATTGGCATGGCTCCCACTGAGAAGAGACAAATGAATTCGGTATTAAAGTGGTTCAGACAGGAACTGGATGAAACAAACAAATGGAAGGAAAAGAACAAACAAGAAAACACAAGAAGCAGAGACCCACTGCTTAGATTTTTTTTTATCTGATTGTATTTTATTTTTATCCTTTAGAAGACTGTTTTCTAATGAGAGACAGAAAGGGAGTGGATCCCTATGGGAAAAGGGCTGTGGGGAGAAACTGGGAAGAGGAGAGGGAGGGGAAACTGTAATCAGGATATCTGAGAGAAAAAAGTTATTTTTCCATAAAAGGAAAAAGAGAAAAAAAGGAAGCTAACTAAGGCATGTACAGAAGAAGTAAAAGTATATGCCAGGGTTGATGATGTGACCCACAAAGACAATCATTGAAACTCAGAAATTATTACAGCATTTTTACTTAAAGCAGTGAGGTTTCTGTATCTGTTTGTTTGTTTGTTTGTTTGTTTGTTTGTTTGGTTGGTTGATTTTTTTAGGTAATAAACACCACACTCTATTCATTTGGAATACTTCTCTGGGAAAAAAGTAGTAGTTTTTATTCCTTCCTTCCTTAGTTGTATGTCTTCTACCCAGGGGTGTTTCTGTTTCTTCTTCTAGGAAAATCTAATGGATAGTTCAAGTTGTAGTTTACAGGCTGTCTACTCTCTGAAACCCTCCAGATCTCTCCTCAAGCTTTAATCCCCCACCCCCACCTCATTTCAAAATAACAGCATTTCTGTTCGGATCTTAAAATTGGCACTTAGCAAATCGCAACCTGGTTCCTCTCAGCACTGACTTGCTGAGCTCTATTTTTACCTGGCATCATACAAGGCAGCAGAGGGAAAACCAACTGGACACAAATCCTGCTAGCTGTGGTGACGCATGTCTGTAACTGGAGCACCCAGAAGGTGGAGTCAGGCTGATCCAGTTCAAGATCATCCTCTCGGCTACATAGTGAATTCAAGGGCAGCCTGAGCTCCAAGACACCACGTCACAAACATAGCAAAGCCCTTTCCTTCAAGGAGCTTTCAGTTATATGTGCGTAGCAGGTAAATCACACCACGGTGGTAAGTGCACTAGGCAAAGCGTAAGCAGTGCACGGTTTTAAGGGGGCTTTATGGCTGTGGTCCAAGGCTAGCTGTAAGAGAAAATGCCTTCTCACATGTGGCAATGACAACTTGCGCTGTGAAAGTAGGGCCACGCCTCTTCTCAGCATCACAACCCCTCACAAGTTCACAGTCATGACCTGTCCACAAGATGTGAACAGGGAGAAGTCTAGTTTTAGGGGACAAAGTGTCTCAAAGATATTCTTTGTTTCCATTTTAGTAGTTTGGTTGTTTCTTTGACGTGGTGGTGCATTAGTTAGCCCTGGTGGGCTTCCAAGTCCCCATCCTCTTGCCTTCTCCTCTTTTTTGAGATTACAGGACAGTGCTGTCCCATCTGGCTCCCAATATCTTAACTTAAAATCATCCCACTTTGGTTTGGTTTTATTTGTGCCTGGGTCTGTGCCATTGAGCGTTTGACATGAACAAGTAAGATTTTTCTTTGGTTAGGTTGATCAGGATAGTTGACCAGTTATAAGAAAACCCATTTCTGCATCAACCTTCTCTTTTTGATTTTGGGTTTGTCTTTAACTGTTAATGTACAAATGTGTGATTCCTTAATTAACTAGTATAGGGAAGTTTTAAAAATAAAACAAAATAATAGGATTTGCTTACTTTTGAAAATAATGGTTTTTTTTTTCCTTAAGGAGAGAGATACTGCAAACATTAACATTGACCTTAAATAATTATTACCAAGTTAAAATGAAAAGCATGGATTCTTTGGCATTCGACTAGTCTATAGCTATCTTGTTTTTACATGATAGTGTTAAGTCATGTTTGTCAAATGTGTCTTTGAAGCCAAAAGCCCTGAAAGGCTTTCAGTAAATCAAAATTGCATTTAAAAAAGCAACCCCTAAGAGAAAGGCTTGAAAACATTACACTAATAAATCCACATAGACACAATGCTTTCCCAAGAGCTTCAGGACAGGCTTGCCCTATGCCTGTTGTCTGGCATCTGTAATGATCTGCAATTATGACTTTCATCCCCGTGTTTTCTTTCCAGGTATGACATAAAGAGAACAGTGTTTAACTTAAAGGGCACAGAAATTCACATCATCACTATAAATATAGTATACAGTTTACACATTACTACAATGAAGACATCTGTTAGCTAATTACGTGGCTCCCTGACTCTGGTTCTCGAAAGTTTCGAGGCTTACGTTCCTCAATACCATATGCTACAGGGAACAGTAAAGACATCTGAATTCAGATATTTTGAAGAAATGTATATTTAGCAACTGAATACATGCTAAAAAGGAATAATTTACAGCAGCAATACCATTACATTTTCTCTCCAGTTTTCTAGATGCCATCTGAAATGCAATGATAAGTACAGATATGGAACATTTACGACCTGGCAAAAAGCATGCTCATGGTGGGGCACACACTCTCTGCCCTCAAGTAGTACATAAGCCACCTTGTCACCTGTATGGGGAATCTTGCACTCAAGGATGACGCCGAACACAGCGAAATGGAACATTTATAGAAGCTTGTATTTTACAATGTTCTTCCTAACCTTTTCAAACTTATTCACACCTCTTTGCCTAACGTGTAGGTAGCAAAAATATTGAACACATAGCATTATAAATCACTAAATCATACATAAAAGAAGCAGTAACTGTGCATCTGCATGCATTGATACTCTACAATTGCTATCAGTGGGGCCTGATCTTTCCATTGTGATGTGTCTTTTCTTTTCATTTTGAAAGTATCTTAAGACTGCTGTGGTACTTTGCTTAAAGTCACATGCATTTCTTGGGCAGGTCTCACCTCTGATGATGCATGCATATGCCAAAGTCCATCTAAATTAATTAGTAAATGGGACATTCATTCCTTTTCGTGCAAACTGCCCTCTCTTAATATACACTGGCAGCTGATGACTGTCACGAGATTTATTTATTTGCAAGTTACATCAATAACTTTCTTTGAAAACTTAGATGTGATGATTGACCAAGACATGTCAATATATTTGTTTGTTTGTAACACTTTTAATCATAACCTAAATGTTTTTTTTTTTCTATTGCTATTTCATAGTGCTAAACAAAATGCATTCAGATTTTGGAAGGCATCCATGAAGTTATCATACAATCTTCATTCATTTAGGTCTTTTATTGTTAAGTGCTAGAAAAAAAATGGGAGAGTTCTGCAATTGCAAATGAACTTGTTTCAGCTGCAAATTTAGAATGAAACACACCATCAAATTTTTGGACAGTTTAGACCCTATGAAAATGAGAGGATGGCTTATTTGGAGCACACATCTTTCTTTGACTTAATATTTCTGACACTACTCTCTGTTCAGAAGTTTGATCTTCAAATAATTCATCAACTCAGCTTGCCTTTGAGGATGTACTTCCAAAAACAACACCAGGGTAGTAAAGGAGCCTAAAATTGGATGTAGAAAAATCTTAGGCTATTGAAAGATGTATCAACAAATTGTTTATTTAAATAATAATTAAAACTGAAACAGAAGCTTCCATCTGTGACATATTTCAGTAGAGAGGGAACAACAATTTTGTGTAGTTAAGGTGAGAAATGAATGCTGAGTTAATTAGAATCCTGAGACAACTAGAGTTAAAATATCAATGACACTTCATTAATTAGCAAGAAGATGCATCCTTTGCATTTCTGTGCATGATGGAAGACCTAAGGAGGGGTTCTTGAAGTGTTTGAGTGTAGTGCCAATGAAATGTTTTATAATGCGGAAAGTCTTAACCGTTTTTTAACTCAGTGATTCTCAGGAAATCATCTTCAACCAACAAATGAGGTATTTTCTGAATTATTTTGTGTTATACTTTGCTCATTAAACAAAGAGATTTGCATTTCCTAAATGAGGTGTGTGATCTGAAAACGGTTTATCAATTCACTCTCATTGAGATGAAAACATTGAAGTTCTTTATGCAAATAATTAAATTTTATAGGGTGGAGACAAATTTAGCTGATCCAGAAAGAAATGGTTTAGAAATGTGTCATTTTGTTGGTAAACCACGTTCTGAATGTCACTGATCTCTCTCTCTCTTTCAGAAATCACATGAATGATAGCAGAATCCCTAAAGGAATGTGGAATCAGGAGAGTCCCATGTCTTAGTGATCATGCAAAATATTCAAGCACAGAATGAAGAGACATTTTATTAATACTATGTTAAGACAATGTTATTTTCATGAGGTACACAGTTCTTTTATTTATTTATTTATTTATTTATTTATTTTTCTTCTTGATCCTTCAGAATGCATCTAATGAATGTTCTCTTTTGTGCTGTCTTAAATTTTTGGTTGGCTAAAAGCATTATGCAAGTCAGAGTTAACTTAGATAATACCTTTAAAAGTAGGGGTGATACTTTCTGTTTGACTTCCTCAAAGGGAAAAACATAACTCATATCTTGGAGTCAATAATTAACAGTTAACGATGAGTAATGTAACTAAAGTAATATACTAACTCTTACAGAACTGAAAAAAAATGTGAAAAAAAGCAGCACACAGTTGGAATTTTAAAACAAATTATATAGCATAACTGCAAGACAAAAACCTACTCTAGCTTAGAAAACAGCTACCTTTTACTGCATATTTGTCATTGTACATTTAAATTATAGTTTTAATAAAATACATCTTTAGATCAAAGCTGAAAGAAGACGTCAGTAGTAGATCAGTGTGTTCCATTGCTCTTCTGGATGATGGGTGGTTCCTGTTTTTACATTTCCACAGACTATTTCACTCAGTTTCATTTTCCTTATTTAACTCCTCTGGTACATACAAACACTAGCTCTGGTAGACAAAACATCCTTGAATCCAATCACGTTTTGGAATATTCGTCTGCGTACTAAATCCATGCAGTTCATTTTCAACCCTCGCTTCAGTAAAATGGCTTTGCTGATGCAGTTTTTCTCCTTTCAATGGCAATACGGCAAGTGACTTTTTTTTTTTTTTAATTTCTCAGGCAAAGAAGAAAGCAAAAGAACCCTCAGAAGAAACAGTAAGTCCACTGGCTTGAGTATCTACGCTGGTTCACCTGAGATCTCTGTCAGGTGTTGATAATCTGAAGAAAGCCTTTTGGGAAAGTTCCTCATGGACTTAATTTAAATCGGTGGAACCCAGTTGAACTTCCCATCATTGTAAACATCCGCACAGTGCCGTGAAAATGTTCATGTGTATTGCATTTTTTTTCCAGTTATTATCTAAGCAAGTTTGTACTTGTTTGAGGTTTTGGGAGACAGCGCGGCTCAGACACTTCTGGGTGCCCTCTCAAATTCGTGGGTCCTCCGGTTTCTACCTTTCTTGCTCTCCTGCATGTGCTTCCACTTGTTGCTGTTCCCTTGAGAGTGCCCTGGCCTCTGCCGGCGGTGCTTTCGGTCCCTTTTCCACACTTGTTCACAGAACTCATCCATCGTGTTTAGGTTGGGGTGGTTGAGGAGCTGCATGAAGTCTCTGTACCAGACCTTCTGGCTGGGTGTCATGCTGTTGGACACTTCTTTGGTCTTAGAGCCGTCTCCGTCATCATCCTTATGAAGCAGCTCTTCCAAATGTTCGGTGTCGATGACTTCCAGGGTCACCTTGAGAAGGGTTTGCATGAATCCGTGCTCTACAGCGTGACACAGGTAATTGCCTGAATCCTTCTTTTGCAGACTTCGGAGCAGGAGCCCTTGTTCTGTCCTGATGATGTGATCACCCACTCTGACCTAGCAAGGAAAAGGCAGGGTAAGGCATGCAGATTTAATAGAAATGCAAGATCTGCCACTCTTGTTTAGAAGAAATTTGATGTTTTTTGAGGTAGGGTTATAGAATTTAACATTTTTAAGTTAAAATTAAAAAAAAAGCATATGCTGGGGAAAGACCTACAGAGTCTGTCAATTGCTTTCAGATCCATTTAAAAATTGCCACAATACCACTGTTTTTATATAGAATGTCTTACAATCATTTAAAATACTCAGGATAGCCAAAGAAAAATATACACTTGAATTAGAAAGCAAGTGTAAAAATATGACACAAAGTCAATATTAGGTAATGAAATAGAAACTAGAAGAATGTAAATCTAGAAAACAATGTATTAAAATAAATTCATAATATGATTTGTAAAGAACAAAACGAAATATTACCGTTTGAGCAAACAAAAAATATTAAATCATATATTTTAGGTTTAGTGAATTATTTATCAGTTCACAAAGTCCTGAACGCGACATAATATGAGGATACACTCTGAAATATATCCAGTCTCACTTTTTCTTTAAGTAGGGTTTGTAATAGGAAACTCAGAAAGCATAACCCAGCAATATGTAAAACAAGTTTACATTTTTTTCTAGTATAAATTCCACAGTTTAAAACTCCTTGATATGTCAGAAAAAAATCTTAACAGGTTGTTTTTCTTTTGTATTCATATTGCATTTGTCAAATTATCTGTACATAACACATTTTATAAAATTTACAAGTGAATGAAACATTCTGGTTACCTTTGTTTAATACTTATAAATAGTTTTTAAAAACTTGGAGCTGCCTGTGTGATTTTCTTCTCTATGTAAGTTGTTACCAGTGTAGGGGGAATTGTATCTATTGAGACACTCTTTCTGGGGCTGTTTTAATAGATAATACCAAAAGTGATGTTAGGATTCAATTTCTTCATACTCAATCAAATGCTCAATTCTATCCCAACTTCTCATTTGTGGAAGAAGAAAGGTACAGCAGAATTCAGTAGCAAACCCTAAAAATACTAGGGAAACTTGATTTTTTTTAAAAAGCACACAGTGCTTTATAACTAACGATGGCAAGAAATAATGACTATAAAATATATGCCCAAAGTATATATTTTGGGCAGGAATGTTTACCAACTTACATTTGTTTCTCATGTGTAGCCTGCTATAGAACCAGCCCATGCTGAGTTCTTGTCTAAATAGCTATTGTTTGGTTCAGTAGTGTGTTGGAGTAATCGGTATTTTTCCTTCCTCTAAGTCCACAGTACTGGTGTGCCAACAGACATATCGGCTGTAAATAATTCAGACAACTGAAATACTGTACCTCTTCTTTTCGATCTTCATTTCTCTTCTGAAACTGCCAATATACCAATGCTCTCTGGGACTTTGGACTGCATTCCAAGAACGTGCTACTATTTTCTACTCCATAGATGATTCTCTCTTCAAGGCTGTGCCCATGGTGATTATCTAGCCAATACGAGAAAATGTTAGTAACTTCAGTTTTCTAAAATATTTATTTGGAAATTCAGAAGATAAATTGTTGCCTACTTAGGAGCCAAATTCACATTGATTAAAGATAGAAAAGATTAAAACTCAAGGTTTTCAGAGTGCAAATAATTGCCTCAATGGATTAGTCATTTTGTTTTGGGTTTTATATGCAGAGATTCAACTACAAGCAAGTAACATCACATGGACAGATCTGCTCATGTCACCATAATCTTGCATCTTTATACTTTGCTGCCCTGATACATGGAGCCAGTTTGTTACCTCTTTTTCTAGCAGAAAGGTTCCCAGACTGAACTTTTGGAAAAAGAAGTGATTTCTGAGAAGTTAGATTGTCTCTTTTATTTGGCTTTCATCTGTGAAATTAAATTTACCTACCAATATTTATCTAGCAATTTCACAGAAGGTGGAATTCAGGATGTTTCTACTCCCCACGAATAACCCCTAAATAAGTCACAAGTTTGTCCTGAAGACCAACTGGTGTGAAATGTTTGGGATGGCTCAGGAGAAACTCACGTAATTACAATGCAATATGGTTTCAATTGTCCTTATTTTAAAATGACATACCCTTTGTTATTTTCCAGAGTTAGGCTATGGACCATGGCAAGAACACATAATAAAATGCAGCAATACAAAAATCTGTTTCCTGATTAAGTTTCTATTATTTTACCCTTTATGTAACCTCCTTCAATGTGGTAACTGAAACACAGCTCAGATCAAAAGTATGACACAGAGAGGCTAGGTAAAACTCAGCGAGAGAACAAAACTCTGTATTATCTTGTGTAATCCTGTTTCCATTATGACATCCTGGACAATCTGGAACTCATTAAATTAATTTAGAAAATAATAAATATATTTTCACATGCACAGAGAGCTGACAGTGTAGACAGATGAAAATTTTCTGCTCTCTCCTTCAAATGCAGCCTGGAGTTTAATTTTAAAAATGTTTCCCCTCCTCTTCGCCATCACTTTGACAGTTTTACTCTTGTCTTAATCAACTTAGTACTTTTGTCTGTCATAAGCAATACGATTTGCTTATGCTAGGTTAAAAGCCTTTGAAAACTACTTCTATTCCAGTCTCTGCTGTAGCCTCTGCTTTCCACTGCCCAACTCTCGACATACTGCAGACTTCTACCACACCACCAGTCTACATGCCTTAGCCTCTTCATGACCTCCTTATAAATCAGGGAAGAACTCTTATGAAACCGGGACATATCTGTCTGTTCTTGGTAAATATCAATAGCCCGAAAATAGTAAAGATGCAATTTACAGTGAAAAGAAATGGCAACAATGAACTGATTCTATGTCAAATTATTTGGCTTCTTCACATGTGTATGTATATGTGAACGTTAAGTTCTATAATGACTGTGACAGTCTTCTCCCTCTACATGTCTCAGTGATGTTCTCTTAGACATCTGTTCCTTGGATAGAGGAGAACTGCTATGAGCAGCAGAACCTGCGGGATGTGAGTTTCACAACCTGCTTTGAATAATGAGAATGTTTTGCCATGGAACTCCATAGTGTTTATATCAAATATATTTTTGTTAATAATTCTACAGTGTAAACTTGCTTGATCGAGAAATCCTTGAACAGCTGGGAAGATATTGTTCATTGTATCTCAGTGCTTAAATTACAACCTATGTGACATCGCAGCAGCAGAAAAATCCCACTAAATTTTTCTGTATAGTCATGTCCTCTAGGCCAAATCCTCTTATGTTGGAATCTATAATGAGGAAGGATTTATCAGTAGAACTCTAGAATTTGTTTTTGCTAACACATCTCTAAGAAGACTAATATGACTCGAATAACAGAAGAGTTCTTTTTTATAAGCGGATAGTCTATGGATTGGAGAGATGGCCATCAGTTAAGAGCCCTTGCTACTCCTGCAGAAGACCCCAGGTTTGGCATCCAAATAGCAGCTAAAAACTGACTGAACTGGGTGATCTCAGGTTGTGTTCTAGCCTCTTTGGGTACTACACATATGTACATGCAGACAAAATACTCATGTGCATAAAATAAAAAACAAAATAGGTCTAATAGCATTAAAACACAACATACAAAATTCTTAAAGAACTCATCAAAATAATCTCTTGTATCCTGTCTGATCACCATGGAATAAAGCTGGACTTCAACAACAACAGAAACAGCAAAAAGCCTACACACACATGGAAACTGAACAACTTGTTACTAAATGACAGCTGGGTCAGGGAAGAAATAAAGAAAGAAATTAAAGTCTTCCTAGAACTCAATGAAAATGAAGACACAACATACCCAAACTTGTGGGACACAATGAAAGCAGTGCTAAGAGGAAAGTTTATAGCACTAAGTGTCCTCAAGAAGAAATTTGAGACAGCTCATTCAAGCAACTTAATGGCCCACTTAAAAACCCTAGAAAAAGAAGAAGCAGACACACCAAAAAGGAGTAGACGGCTGGAAATAATCAAACTCAGGGCTGAAATTAATCAATTAGAAACAAATAAAACAATTCAAAGAATCAATGAAACCAAGAGCTGGTTCTTTGAGAAAATCAACAAGATCGACAAACCCTTAGCCAAGCTAACTAAAAGGCAGAGAGACACCACCCAAATCAACAAAATCAGAAATGAAAAGGGGGACATAACTACAGACACTGAGGAAATCCAAACAATCATTAGGACTTACTTCAAAAGTCTATACTCAACAAAATTTGAAAATTTAAATGAAATGGACAATTTTCTTGATCGATTTGACTCACCAAAGCTGAATCAGGACCAGGTAAATCAATTAAATAGTCCTATATCCCCCAAAGAAATAGAAGCAGTCATCAAAAGTCTCCCATCCAAAAAAAGCCCAGGACCAGATGGCTTCAGCGCAGAATTCTACCAGACCTTCAAAGAAGAGCTAACTCCAATTCTCTTCAAACTATTCCACAAAATAGAAACAGAAGAAACATTACCAAACTCATTCTATGAAGCCACAGTCACCTTGGTACCTAAACCTCACAAAGACTCAACAAAGAAAGAGAATTTCAGGCCAATCTCCCTTATGAACATTGATGCAAAAATACTTAACAAAATATTTGCAAACCGAATCCAAGAACACATCAAAGATATTATCCACTATGACCAAGTAGGCTTCATCCCAGGTATGCAGGGGTGGTTCAATATACGGAAATCCATCAATGTGATCCACCATATTAACAAACTGAAAGAAAAAAAAAACACATGATAATCTCCCTAGATGCTGAAAAAGCATTTGACAAAATCCAACATCCATTCATGTTTAAAGTACTGGAGAGATCAGGGATACAAGGCACATATCTAAACATAGTAAAGGCGATATACAGCAAGCCTATAGCCAACATCAAACTGAACGGAGAGAAACTTAAAGGAATCCCACTGAAATCAGGAACAAGACAAGGCTGCCCACTCTCTCCATATCTCTTCAACATAGTGCTGGAAGTCCTTGCTAGAGCAATAAGACAGTTGAAGGAGATCAAGGGAATACAGATGGGAAAGGAAGAAGTCAAATTATCACTATTTGCAGATGATATGATAGTATACATGAGTGACCCCAAAAACTCTACCAGGGAACTCCTACAGCTGATAAACACCTTCAGCAAAGTGGCCAGATACAAAATTAACTCAAAAAAATCAGTAGCACTCCTGTATACAAAAGACAAAAGGGCTGAGAAAGAAATTAGAGAAACAACACCATTCACAATAGCCACAAATGACATAAAGTACCTTGGTGTAACCCTAACCAAGCAAGTCAAAGACTTGTATGAAAAAAATTTCAAGTCTCTGAAGAAAGAATTAGAGGAAGATATGAGAAGATGGAAAGATCTCCCATGCTCATGGCTTGGCAGGATTAACATAGTAAAAATGGCCGTCTTACCAAAAGCAAACTACAGATTTAATGCAATTCCCATCAAATTGCCAACACAATTCTTTACAGACCTGGAAAGAAAAATTCTCAACTTTGTATGGAATAACAAGAAACTGAGAATTGCTAAAACAATCCTCTACAATAAAAGATCTTCTGGAGGTATCTCCATCCCTGATCTCAAGCTATACTATAGAGCAACAGTTATAAAAACTGCATGGTACTGGCATAGAAACAGAATGGTGGATCAATGGAATCGAACAGAAGACCCAGAAATAAACCCACACACTTACGGACACCTGATTTTTGACAAAGATGCCAAAACCATACAATGGAAAAAAGATAGCATCTTCAACAAATGGTGCTGGTCCAACTGGATGTCTACATGTAGAAAAATGAAAATAGATCCATACTTATCACCCTGCACAAAACTGAAGTCCAAGTGGATCAAAGATCTCAACATAAAACCAGACACATTAAATCGGCTAGAAAAAAAAGTGGGGAATACCCTCGAACTCATTGGTACAGGAGAAAACTTCCTGAACAGAACACCAACAGCACAGGCTCTAAGAGCAACAATCAATAAATGGGACCTCATGAAATTGAAAAGCTTCTGTAAAGCAAAGGACACCGTCATTAAAACAAAGCGACTGCCTACAGATTGGGAAAGAATCATCACCAACCCTTTATCTGACAGAGGACTCATATCCAATATATATAAAGAACTAAACAGGCTGAAAAGCAACAAACCAAGTAATCCACTTAAAAAATGGGGAACAGAGCTAAAGAGAGAATTCTCTGTAGAGGAATATCGAATGGCAGAGAAGCACTTAAAGAAATGCTCAACCTCATTAGCCATTAGGGAAATGCAAATCAAAACAACCCTGAGATTTCACCTTACACCCATCAGAATGGCCAAGATGAAAAACTCAAGGGACAACACATGCTGGAGAGGTTGTGGAGAAAGGGGAACCCTTCTCCACTGCTGGTGGGAATGTAAACTTGTACAACCACTCTGGAAATCAATCTGGCACTTTCTCAGACAACTAGGAATAGCGCTTCCTCAAGATCCAGCCATACCACTCCTAGGCATATACCCA